CTGTTTTACTCTTACATGCTTCTACCACCACCAGTTTATTCACTGCAGTACAACCAGGCAAGCTCATTACAAACTTATATGACACACTGTCCTGGTGACTTCTGAAGCAAGCTCCTTGGCTATTCCAGTAACTAAATACAGTGTGGACAAATGCTTTCTCAACTGTCATGGTTTTTAGGAATAGGTTTTCACTGAAGGGTTGTGACGAAGATAGCATAGAATATTACCGTTAAGAAAAACACAATGTAGCCGTGAATATTCTGAGAAAAAATATTTTTGTAGACGATAAGCTTGTTTGTTCTTTGTACCAAAGTATCATTGTGGTAAAGACATTTGTGAGGGCGGCACATGTCGTTCTGTGATTAACATTTGAATTACACTTTCTGTTGCAAAATACATGTCACTGATCTTATAGGGTGTTGTTTTTTGAAGTTAAGCACAAAGCAACACAATGGGGTATCTGTGCTCTGTCCATCAGGGGTATCCAAACCAAGTTTCTAACGTTGGAAGTTCGCAGACATACCGCTATACCACTGATGGGCTCTTATAGGGGTGATTCTTGGAAAGTTTTATCTGAATCACAAGTTCAGTTATGCCCAGCTTTAATATCCCTATTGTCACGAGGTTCCTCAGCAAACCTACATTTGTTGTTTACACATTCCGATCAAAAAAATGATTTAAAATCAAATTAACAAGTTTGTATGAACACCATAAAATTTGCCATTCAGTAAACATTAAGGGTCTAAACCCATAAACATAACTGTATGTACAGTTGTGTAGGGTCTACTAGTCTATGATCGTTGATTTATTAGCCAAACAAATCCACATGTATTCAGAAATCTTGGTGTTGCAAACTAAAGTCATTTAATCTTATACATACAGGCCAAGTTGAAAATAATCAAATTTCTAAGTGACCTAGACACTCCAGGAAGATAACTTGTTAAACTAGCCTGGCGCTTCATTTCAACATGACTTGTCTGTAGGCTACTTAGACATTCGAAAAACTAGATTCGTTTTGTTTTTCAGATGATCGATTATTCTGATTATGCGGAAGAAAATCTGCTAGAGTACATTTTAGTTGTGTCAGATCTTCGCAAAATATTGGAAAATAATACTATTATTAATAGAAACTCAAATTTAGGCCTAATATTATGTTGCTGAGCAATAGGGTGCATGATTTACGTTTGTTACACCTTTATATTGGTGATACATGATGCTAAGTGATTGCATGTGCGAAGTATGTTTATTGTCTTTAATCTGATAACACCTGCTAGATCTAGCTGTATTCCCAGAAAAATGGCAAGTCCCCTGACATACACAATATGGAGGGATGAGGAACATGCATATCACAAACCACATCCATAATAAACATTGAAATATTAACATTAGCACTAGTGGAGAGGCATATCAACGGCTTTATCTTTGCACCGTCATTCACAAAATGATGAATGTTGTCTCCAATCTTGGTTTAGGCACTGCAGTGGCATTTCTAGGATTTTTCTAGTTAGGGATTAGTTGTATTCAATACAAAAAGAAATAGGCTTTCTTGCCTTTAAGAAATGTTTACTTATTCTCTTTTGATTATCAAAAAAGCTGAAGTTATCAAGGCACTCTTTGCACAGCTTTGCAGCAGTGTGATGATGTTTCAAACTACCATTAAATTCACCTCCTAGGATTAATATGATTGGAGATACTTCTTTTGGTTCGAGTTACACAAGACAACTACCCTACCCATGCAAAAAAAAACAAACAAAAATTAATAATTTCATGTCAGTGGGAGTCACAATGTAGGGAGAATATAAAAATATTTAAAAAACTAACAATGATCTCTACTGTTAAGGATGACAGACTGTATTCTGAAGGAATTAAAATGACCCACCATTTTGATTACCAATTCATAATTTACTTTAAAAGTTGTTTGAACTCATCTACAGCAGTGAATAAGTTTTGTGACATCTTCCAGGTGGTAATGTTATAAGCATATTGTGTTGCATGTATATGTAGAAAAGGGATTGTCATTGACAAAAATGTAAACAGAAATGTACTGCACACTATATATTAACTAAGGAACTCCTGCATGAATAATGAAAGATCACATAAAGCATTGTTGATTCTGATTTCAGCAGATCACGAAAGATCCATTGAGTACTGAATCATAAATATTCAATTGAAATAGCTTTTAATGTAAACCACTATATTCGAGAAACCAAAAGATTCCTTGTATTCAGAAAAACAGCAACAACAGCATGATTAAATTTAAAACCATTTAAAAAGCTTTCACTAAACTGATTAGATTATCTGAGGTCTTTCTTCTGGAACAAACTATTTCCCTAAAACAACAAGGAATTAGAGAGGATTTTTTTATTCAGATAATTGGGTTGTCTATTAGTTATCTGTATGGTTATTTTTTTCTTTTTAGTTTTGTAAATAACTATATCTTAAGGTGTTTCCAAGAAAACATAATGAAGAGAAATGAGAATGTTAAGGTCAGAGGTTTCTTTTAAGAAGTAAAATGTAAATACTATTAGCTCCAAGGGAATAATTTTTAAAAGATTTTAAGTTAATTTAATTTCATATTCAGATATTGTTTACATTTTTTATGATTAAAGTTGGAAGAAGCTAGCATACCATAGAAAAACGGAGATCATATTTAGCTGAATTTTATAAAACCATTCATTGCTAGGATTAATAAAATTCTTAAAATAACCTGTTAAAAAGCATGCCTTATCACATTCCATGTTAGAAACTCTTTCATAATTAACCACAGAGGAGTCATGCACTAAAGATTTAAACTTGGATTTTTTTATGGTTTCCTGAAAAATATAAATGATCAAAAGAGACTTTTTCCTTGATTATTTTACAGATAGAAAAGCCTGTTACCACCAGAAAAATGAAACTGTGACAAAGGCTACAAAATTTTCATTAGCATATGAAGTGAAGACAAGTTAGGTGTTTTTACAGTTGAAACATACAATTTAAACTTGACGAATTGGTTCTCAATGGAAAAAAAGTCATTGCAAGTAGCAATGTTATTTGATAATATTATATATTTCAGGGGTGAGTTTCCAGTAGTTTAGAATGTACAAAATGATTCCACAAGAAGCAGCTTGATGAATTGTATCTAAAATCATATTACAGTAAACTTCAATATTATCAATGGAATCAGTTACATTATATATGAAGTATCTCAATTATTCTTGGTAGAAAATAAAACCAAAAGTAAAGCAACAGGATTATTGGTATGAAAACATTTATTTGAAGGAAAAATGAAGGAATTATGATTACTACTCATACCTTTATGTACAAGAAATAAACTGAAAATATCTTAATGGTCCTTCCTGAGTAATTTCTTCTGGCATTAGTTAGTAAAGTGTTAATCCTTTTGAGAAAATTTCTATTGTGATAGGTTTTAATATTTTGGTTATAGACCCTCTTTTATTAGTCCAAAAATATTCATTATTTTCCTACTTTTTCTTTAGAACTAATCCTCTTGGTGTTATTCCACTTAACATTAGTATGTATGTCCCTGTAGTTAAGTTAAGTTAAAATCTCAATTGTTTATAACAAGATACGAATAGTTGAGTTTTTTGTTTATAGTTCTAATAATGTGTACTAATTTATCACATGATTACTCATACATTAACTACACTGTTACTAACCCCAAGTTATATCTATAAGTACTATGTTTCATGTATTTAGTTTAGTCATATATACAATGTTACCATGTATTCATTTATTGGCATAAGTAAAGTATTCTTACAATACATTATAGTGACCTATTCTTACTGAAATAGTGCACATAATAGGCACCAGTGTAGCATGTATGATACACTAGAACTGCATTAATTACTCTTCAAAATCTACACCATGGATCTAGCTCATCTTGATAGCCTGACAGAATGCTGTGTCCTAATTGTTGGTGTCAACAGAGGCTCTAGTAAAGCTGAAACTGAAAACAAGATGCAACCATCTCATAATAAAGTAAGCAAATGGTGCTATAAAAGGAATGGTAATCCAATCTGACACAGACTTGTTCTACACTTTCAACAGTGTACATACTGAAGGATGAACTATCACCATCCCTCTGGAAGAAACATTGAAATACTTGGAGTTAACCTTTCATAGACAACTCAATTTAATTAGTCACATTAACATAACACTATAATAACTGGAGCTACTAAAGGCATCAATACATTGGAAGTTACAACAAGAAACAGAGCTGAAAAACACCAAAGTATCATCCATTTTATCTTGAATTATGCACTACCAATGATCAGTATGAATGCTAAGCAGCTAGGCAAGATTGAAAAGATACAAAACATCTGTTTAAGAATGGCTATTGGATATATATACATACACACAAACATCAAGGACTATTACGCCTAACAAGTTTTAGCAACATCGCGGATCTACAACAATATTTACAAAGTTCTTCACTAGGGCCTTGCAGTTTAAATACCTTGTATTCAATCATCAAGCCACTGCCTTTTTTACTTAAGATATTCCAGCTTCAAAATGACCCTACAAACACCAATCAAGCAGAAAATTGCTTTAAAGACACCTCAGGAGAGGAGACAGTCATAACTGGACAGGTGATATACAGTCACCAATGAGATAATTGGTCACCACCAGATCTCAGCCTGTGAAATAAACATCTGACACCTTAGGAATCTGTTTGGAAATCAGTCTAGACAAAAAATGTATAGAATGGGTAGAGGGTAAGGCAGAAAAAGTATTTCAACATCTATTTGAAAGCCATGGTGGATCTTCATCACAAATAGTTCCTACACTATAAATAACATGAGAGCCGGTCAGGCATCTGTTGTCTCTCAGAGCAACAACATTCAACATAAGGTTGTTAGGCCATTCAAGTTTTCCAAAAGCAGCTTAAGAATGAAGTTAGAAGCCATAAAGCTAGTTCTCCTCTGGATTGCTGAGAGCAAAAAAAATGCAAATAGACAGTGCCACCAATAACTGACTTGTAGACTGTACTGGGTAAAATGCAGAATGATTGGTCCTCCCTCATCTGATTGGCACAAAGCAAAGCAACTGCATAGCAATACCATCATTTGGACTAAGATGCCAGACTATGCAGGAGAGAAGAAACTAATAAGTTCGAAAAATGTACCCCTATGTCAAATAGGAGATGAACCTCATCTGCATTAATAAAGCAAAAATAATACTCAAGGATGGTCTTCATCAACATTCAGAGGGAATGAAACTGCTGGAAAACAAAGTACTACATCATGCAGCCAGGAAAACCAAAAGATGGGGGAATCAATAAGACAGTTTACAGTCAGAGGCCAATGGTAACACCAATAAACAAACTCTCTTTTACCTTCTGCAAGGCACCAACTTCCACAAGAGAAATCAATGTCTGTTGGCAAAATCTTTGGGACTATTACTTAGTACTCGACTCAGCTCAACCCATTCATACTTGGATTTTACACTTAAAATCTCGGCATAGTGAGTGTAAGTTACATTTCTCTAAAAATGTAGAAGATTTTACAAGATATTTAATTTTTATTGTAATTTTTACAATTTGTGGTAGTAATAAGATCCTACTTGGATGTATTTAAAGTACATGATACAAGTATATAAATTTTTTGTTTTTCTAAGCATTGTATTCAACCGAGCGAGATGGATCTGTGGGATAAAATCTCTGACACTGGGTCATCAGTCTTTTCAGAGCCTACAAAAAAGAAAAGAAAATGAAACCAATGAGATCAGTTACAATTTTGGCTGCATAAATAATAGCACTGTCATGACTTTCATAATTAACTTTAGAAAACAACAGCAACAGCCAGTTGTGGTTACCAATTAAGTAAGTTTGCAAAGTAATATCATCACTTAAAATTAGAAAAAAAAATTATAACATATGCAGCTCATTACATAGACATCAAACATTATTTATGTAGAAAACTTCAACTTTGAATTATATGACCACAAGTTGAAGTAGACATTTATGCTTGAATGAGAAAAAAATACTGTAAACAATTTCTAATTCTATATTCTTCCAATTAATAATACATCAAACTATTATCAAAAATCACTAAAAATCTAAATAAGATGGCTCTGGTAATTCCAGATGTTGTGTTACATGATATAACATACCTGTATGAATTTTCTTTGAGTCTCATCATTCAGTACATCTGAGGTTATGGATTAAAGAAAAGAAAATTCTAAAATCATCCATCAGATATATTTTTGTGATTTTCCTTACTTTACCAATAACTTTGTAAACAAAACTCATTACAGAATGAAAGGTGTAAAATTTTTCACAGGGTGAGAGAAAAGAAAGTTCCTAATGTTTAAGAAAACCTATATACACTGAAAAAATGGCAAATTATTTCAAATATTTGTCACAATTTTAAATATGATTGATTTTATAAGAACAGAAATTTTCACATATATCAGTTACAAGTATGACTCGTTATTACGTAGTGACAAATAATAAATATTTTCTATAAAGGAATGTCAAATTGTTTGACTGCAAATAAAATACATATATTTCTACTACATCTTAAACAGTAGAAGCATAGAAAGGTCCTACCAATTTGTACAAAAATAATAAAAATCAATGTACTATAGTATAATCATCTACTTTTACTACCCTTTCCCAACTATGTTTTACTATACAGAGAAGTATATAGTACTGGGTCATTGAAAGCATTGAAGATGCAAACTTTAATTTGAAAACTTAGATACTTGAAAGCTGAAAGTTCCCAAAAGTCAACACATACATATAAGGCTAAACATACAAAATAAAAATGGACAAAAAAAGAAGTGAATGTAGAATAAAGAAAATAATGGCAGATACCTTGTCTACTTCATTTACATTTAATTTTATATGTTTTATACTTTTTGTACTAATTTTACTAATCACTTTTAAGTAAGATGATGTTTCATTTATTTGGTAAAGAAGATCTTTGACTAAAAATTGACTCTTTGTCAGTCTATTTTCTTCAATTTTCATTTTCCCATCCTTTGTTTTGTATTATTGAAATTAAAATTACATTCAGGACTATCACCTATTTCTTTTACTCTGTTTTTATGTTTTTTCAGCAGACATTTAAACTCCTACCTCTTAAAATAATGACAAGAAACACTAAATTATCACCATATGTGTAATATTTTAGTGACAACTGCACTGATGCTTGAACAATACAAGGGTCCTAGGATCAATTTCACCCTTGGAAGTTAGTTTCATCCCAGTCTATTTCATTGTACACAACATCATTTGTTTTCTTTGCTATAAAGGCATCAAGTAATAGATGCTTTTATTAGTCAGCTTCATCATTAATGCATTTAAAAACTTAGAAGCTAGGCTATTTTATTGGAGAATTATTACAGTGCAATATGTGAATATATTATGATCCATCAAATTTTCCAAATTTTACTGTTTGTAATAAGTAGCACACATGCATTTACAAATGTATTAGTAATATGATTTTCTATATACAAAGCTGTTCTTTTATTGTTATTGATTAGATGCAAAAGTATTTAATGCAGTAAAAATTACTTGACTGGCCTATTTTGGTACAATTATCTAAAGAACAAAGCAAAACCTATAGCTTTTCATTCTAATGGCTTTCTAGTTGTTCTTCAGTATGTGAGAAAGCCAGGTTAAAGAAACATTTAATTGAGTACTACATAATTCAGAAAAATACCATGGAAAAATTAAGTAAGCTTGAAATTGGATTCTCAGCCATTTCTAGTGTTAAACTATCCAACCCATGACCCGTTGGGTCACCCACATTTCAGAGGTTATGAAGAATTCGAACTAATTTCAATATTGCACCGAAATGAAGGTTTATTTGAGATAATTTAAATACATATTTCAATCCATTTGTGTTATTCATAACTGAAGAAACGATATTTGATTGTTGATCGGGAGTAAAAGGAAAGACCATTTCATTTTTCAAAAAAGTGAGGTCAGAGTTTTCAGGTATTGTGATGAATTAGTTCATTATGTTGTGGTCTTTCCTCTTAAACCTTCTCCAAATAAGAAACAGTAATACTTTATTTTTTCTTCGAATTACCTACCATAACCAAGTTGCATTATTGAGAAATTCTTGGGAACATTGACGGGGAAATAGATTTGAACGAAGAAGTTTCGTAAAGAGTGCAAACGGTAATGTGATGTAAAATTACTTATGCTAGAAATTTTCATAAAAGTGACCCGAAAAACGGCGTTAACTCGGTAATCTGTGGTCCGATTGTAACGAAACTTGTTTTATTCTGTTTCTATTCTCATTTCATTACAAATATGGTGCTATTGTGCAACGTTTTTGCTGTACTTAATTATAGACAAGCAAAGAAACAATCTCAGAGTTTTAGTAGTATATAGATTTGTTGACATCTGAATGAATGTGGCTGTATTTTAATTTCATTATTTTAGTTAGCACATATACAAACAGATTTAGAGACTTTATTTTTATTTAGTTTGCCAGATCCACTCTTATTTATTTGATTGGTGAGGTTCAAAAAGAATACTACATGCAACCACATTTACATGCTAAATATTTCACACTCTAATAATATATGTTTTGCAGTGTAACATTATAAACTATTACTAAAAGTTATATACATGTATATTATGTGTTTTACAAAGAAATACTATAAGCCCAAATTAACATTAGCTACAATTATATAAAAAGTATATTGCATTGTAAACATGCATACAAAGCTCATAGTTATCTACATTAGTTTTACAGCTTAATGCTATAATGGTAAATTTACAAAGGATACGGGCTATGTTCTGGGCAAAAATCTTTTCTCGGCCAGTTCGAGCATGAATACCAACCATAGTAACACCAATAGGCCAAGGAGAGTTACCTATTGCCATTTGCAGATAGGAATCACTTGCCTACAATAAGAGAATAAAGTACATGATTAAAGTCATTCATAATTATCTACTGCTTGCATGCAGAACAGAAGTATATTCTGTATTAACCAAAGTTGATAGGTAACAATTGTGTACTCAAAGCGTAATAACATCTTTCTAAAGATGAGATAAAAATGTGATAAACAGAACACACAAACAAACTGCTGCCAAAGTACTATTGTCAAAAGATCCAATAGTATGTGTCAAAACCTTAGGAGCTTGGCCCTTCAATTTTGGCCCTGTCCAACAAGGTAAAATAAAACAAAAATTTTAACCAATTAATTATTTTTCTCTACTCACAATCAAGTATCTATAGTTCACAGAAAGAGAAAATAATGGAATTATATGGTTTTAGATGTCAGAATTACAAGTTGTTACACAAACATGAAGAAATAGACACAATATATTGTAACTGCCAAAATTAAACTACTATGCCTAATTAATACAAATACTGCAATAGCTGTTCTCAGCAAATTAATTTTAATTTTTCTATTAAAGGCTGGAAAGAAGTTAGAAATTTAATAAAACTATATTTAAGTGCAATAACATAAACTACAGTACTTAAAAACAAATCTGTTACTGTTATAACATTTATAGTAAATGTATTAATTGTAGAATTTCTTAGAACAGAGAAAGTTAAGAGTTAGAAAGATAGGTTTAATATTAAAAAAATGGAAAACAAAAATCATAATTCACATAACTTCATTTTAGTGCTTAAAATAAATAACACTATGGTGATAAGAGCACTATTTTCATCATCATAAACCCAGACAAGACTTCTTCAATATCATATTTATTTACAAACTGATCTTGATGTATGAAGTTAAGCATTACTCAAGTCATCATAAAACACTTTAAGTAACATCAAAATATTACAAAGTCTTCTACTAGCCAAATTATTCTAAAACTAGGATTAAGTTGTCATGATAAAAATTTTATGAGACAGAAACCAAACAGTATTTGCATGATTCTATGTTAAATGACATATTTAAATAATTAGAATGTTCTAAACTTGTAGTTTTCATGTTCCTGTAAAGACCTTTGATCTATTGAAGTTCACTAAAGACATACTTATATAATAATGTTCAATACCCAAATTTTAATACTTTTGTACATTTTCGGGTTTTAATACTAGAGCTGTACACTCTACAGTTTTTAGTCTTTCAGAAAATATTCTACAAACAAATATTCTACTTTTATCTATCTATATAAATGTTGTCTGTCCATGTAACTACTTCTCATGGTATGGATGGATCTTTACCAAAATTGGTATAGAGGTTCATAAGGTTCATGTGGGGGTACATACAAATTTTCAGTTTTTATGACCATACTTTCGTTTTTTACCACTACTTCACCCCATGTAAATGGATCTTCATCAAACTTGGTATGGAAGATTATTGGATCCATGGGGAGATACATACAAATTTTCAGTTTTGCAGTTTTTATGGGTATTTTTTACCACTGCCAAAGAATTGCACGAAATAGAGCTTGTGCTCTCTACAAGTGCTCAGTTTCCAAAGCATGTGACACAAAATGGAATGAACTATGCAGTGAGGCTAATCTCACAAGTTTTCATTCTGGTACTACCACAAGCTTATGGCTCATGCAGGAACTGGAAACATGGTGACATCAATCACTTTCGATGGTGATACCCCATTCTGTACAGATGGCAAACAAGGCTAGGCCTTAATTCTCAGATACATTAACCAATACGACCATGGTGACATGCAGGAAAGGCTCAAGTTCCTATTTAAGCTACAAGTATACATATATATATGTATGGAACCACCTAGAACTTGGGTAAAATACATATGGCCACATATGCATCTAAAGATGGAGTTCATGGTCTAAATGTTGTAAGAATATTCACCTTTGTCTTACTGAAGCCAACTTGTTAATGTTAGCATTGAAATATCAACATACCTCTACCAAATCCTTATTCAAATCCATTAAGGTTCATTCTCATCTCAATGCCATTTAATGATTGTTCTACAAAACATCATTGGCAAGATCCAAGAGAAGAACATGGCTAGAAGGCTTGCATATCAGAATGAAATACTACTAATATTATCACCAGTAGGTGGATATTGCAGTGGAAGATAAACCTACATGGTAAGGCTTTGAAGCTTGTAAAAACACCTTGTCAGAAATAGATCTGGAAAATTCCTTAGAATACGACACAGTCCAGCCACCCATTCTTCTTGACAAAATGATAAGAATTATCATCTGTGTAACACGTGTAAGATGAGTTGTAAACACATTAACTTTCGAAAGATGCATCATGAAGCATAGGATATGGGAATCAAATTGGATTCCTATCAACAATGGCATGCCTTAAGGATCACCATTTTTGTCTGTCCTCTTCAACAATTACACCATTATCTAGCCTGACTTGACATGTCAACCAATTGCTGTGTGTTAACATCTGCTGACAACATTCTGGTGTATACAAAAGAGTGAGACCAAAGTTGAAATCAAAATTAAGATGCAACCAACCCTTAGAAGGACGATCAAATGGCTATCAATCCTGCCAAAACCAAAGCTATGGTCTACATATTCAAAAACAAACATGCTGATGAGGACAAACTATCACCATCCTTTGCAAACACTGCTATCCCTCTTGAAGAAACAATGCAGTACCCAGGGATAAGTTTTGATAGGCAACTCAACTTCACCAACCATATTAACCAGAGATACCAAAGACATCAATGCATTGAAATTGCAACAGAAAACAAAACTGAAGAACACATTTGTTTGTGCTCTACCAAAGTGTTACCCATTCTATCTTGGATTATGCACTACCAATGATAAGTATAAGCACTACAACTACACAGTTGGATAACACTGAAGAGTATAGAATACCTGTTTAAGATTAGTCATGGGATGTAATTCAGCTATCTCCATTAAAGCTTTCTTACACCTTATGGGCCTCAGCAGCATAATACAACACCAACAGCACTAACAAACAAAATTTTCCACTAGAGCTTGTAGTGTAAAGATGTTGTATTCCATCACTGACACAATGCTTTTTTCAAGTAGGACATTGTAGCTCCACAGATACCAGCCATGAAGGGGATTTCCTAAAACGCACCTTAAAAGGCAGTAATGGGTGGACTATACAGCCATTATTTAGATAATTTGTCACCATCACCACCCAGATTTCCCATGTGAAGTAAACATCTGATGTCACTGGGAGCTGTGTATACCAGCCTAAATAGAAAATGTAAAGTTTTAGGCTGAAGGTGAAGCATAAGAAGCCTGTCAACACCTAGTGAAAGATCATGGTGGACAATCTCCTGTCATCATAGTCACAGATTATTCCTGCACCAAAGACAGTGAAGAAGATGGTTGGGCACTCATTGCTTTGTGAAGCAATAACACTCTGGATAAGGCAGGTGTAGCAATGAAGCTTCCAACAAGCAGTACAAGGACTGGAGCTGGAAGCAACAAACCACAAATAGACAGTTTCACCAACATAATATTTACAACTAACTCACAGATAGCACTCCATAAAATTAAGGACATTTGGTCTCTTGAAGGAGAGCACAAAGCAATCCAAATGCAAGATAAGACCATCACCTGGATGTATGTGCCAGGCTAAACAAGGAAGGTGATAAACTCACATGGGTATTTTATTTATCATATATAGAACAACTCTACTGGCAGGATATTGAGATCATCAACAACAAGCAACAACCATGGAAGGTTTCATCAACAATAAGAGGGAATTAGAGTACTGAAAAACAAGTCCCTTAAAGTGTAGCTACAAAAAACAAAAGATGGGAAATTAACAGGATAGTACACGGTAATTCAGTAAAGGAACCCTCATCTACATCCTGCAAGGCAGCCAGTCTGTATACGAAGGATTTGTATCTTGTGGTGCAACCCCTGGGATTTTCTCTTAGTACCCAACTCAACATCAGCAAACAAGAATAAAAATATAGCAGTAACACTACAAATATGCAAACTCATCTTACCACTACTCACAAAGTTACAATAACTGCAGAAGAGATTACAGATGCAAGCAGATCTCAGCAAACTATTTTAAGTATTTTTAAATACAAATTTTAAAATGTTCTATAGTGCTTAGATGGGCAAAGGAAGAAACCTTGGCAGTAGAGTAATAGCTGTGAGTATTATTGGAAATACATTTTTCATTTAAGAAAATGTTGACTTTTGTGAATTTTACATTAACAAAGTAAACCATTCAGATTGACATACTTTGGAAAAGTTAGTTCTAATTTATGTCAATCTGAATGATTTACTTGTTGTAAAATTCACATTAACAAATTTCAAATGGAATGTTAATGATCTTATTTTTTTTCTCACTTGCTCCAGTCTTTTATACCACACTTAATTGCCCTCAGCGATATTTGTCTCTTAACACTCTCCACCTATGTCAATAGGTGGTCTATCTTGGTAATATATATATATAAGCACTACTTTCAGGTAGTGTTGTCACTTTTTTGAGACTGACTCAATATGCAGTCTCTTAACACTGGCTCTTGGTGAGAAGAAGGGTGAGAGAGTGTGAAAGGAGATAAGTATTATTGGAATTATATTTTCAATTTAGGAAAATGTTAACTTCCAATACATACATACATACCTCTTCTCCCACTTATAGCTAGAATTCCACACTGAGAAGGTGAGGGCATTATTCACACAGAAAGTGCTTGCTTAGACTATGACAGGTGTGTCAAAAGAAGATTGGCACCCTAGGGATGGGGAAACTATCCTACATTCAGAACAGGGATGCTCTTAACACAGAACTTAATTCATGTACTGCGGATGGAACTTTACGAGTCATCATCACTACTAGCCAGGCCCCAGCCCGATAGCCGAGGGTCCACTGCTTGGGGTTGGAATTATAATACCATGGTCCCTATATCCCATGTTGGTGGCTAGGGCAATTGGACTGCAAGATATATACACACATTTATGAGTGGATTCAAACCTGTAGCTATAGAGTGATGCATTTTGGG